TTTAGGATTTTGTCAGGCAAAAAGGTATGTCCTCTAGGACAAAGACCCAAGGTACTAAAAAGAATTACGCCGTAATCCTTTGAGAAATGATTGTCTAATTCACTTGGAAAATAGATTAAGATTGGATAGAACATATTGATCTATACTGGATGTATTGATATATGTACATGAGTTGATTTACAAATGTGGATTCCAGTAGATTTTTCAAAACATCGTGATTTTCTTGTTTGCTTTTGCAGTCAGTGAAATGTTGCATTTCTTACTGCTTTCCAAAAATATCCGAGAACAATAGAAATGCATATTGTTAGATCCTTCCTTTTACCTCCCTTACATGTTAGAGGCGCATCTAAGTTCCAATGCTTTCATGCCTTTGTGACTGTTTACTCTCCATTGCTTTCGGTCTATGGTCATTTTTAAGACCTTTTTTTTAATGTAGTATGCCCACAGCTTCAAGAGTGCTCTTTAGCTTGTCTTTGTACCGGGACCATGGCGACGCACCTACGTCCCTTTTGTTGCTTTGTAGCTGTCGGTACATGACAACTTTTTGTATTCGATTGTCACTCATTCGGGTAACATGACCAATGCATCGTAATTGAGATTGAGTAAGAAAGGCAACGATGCCTCCAATTTCTCACTTTGGAAACAGATCAGCATTTGAGATCTTGTTTGAGTGTATATCCACAGATTGAGTTAAATGGCAGGCCTTATGGAAAAAACATCCTATTGTGTGTGATTTTGAGTCCAAGATTAAGAATATATATATATATATATATATATATATATATATATATATATATATATATATATATATATGTAAAAAATGAGATAGAGAGGGACAAAGGTGATGTAAGAAAAAGAATAAAGATGAATTTGGCTACATTGAGAAAAAATATATTCTTTCAAAAATTGTCAACAAACGCGTCACAAAAAATCCTTCCCAGTTTGTCATTTTTCTAAATATATATATTCTAAAATTTTCCTAATTTTTCTAAATATATATATATATATATATATATATATATATATATTCCAAAATTCGCTTGAAGATGAATTAGAACTAATGCTTTTAATTTAATTATATAATTGAATTTGAAGTCTTTAGCTTCGGTTTTTGAAACATGGTAATTCCTGTGTAGCGAAGGAACCATATTTTTAAATTTAAATTATAATATTTACCTATGCTCTGTTTTAAAAAAAAAAATATCAATAAGAACACCGGATTATATATCTTACTGTTCTTTTTTTTTAGTATATATATATATATATATATATATATATATATATATATATATATATATATATATATATATATATATATAAAATGAAATGGACAAAGTCCGACAATTATCTTAAGACATTTTTATATTTATATTTTTTTATAGATATAAATATTTAAGTAGATATTCTGTTTTATAATAAACAGTATTAATAACATTTACCAGCCTGAATGTCCGAAACATTTTCATAGAAAATATTCGTCCTCCGACAGGAATTGAACCTATATCCTATACGGAATTGTGACTGAAAATGGGCACCCTCTTCATTGTTTTTTTTTTTTTTATAACTGGTGAGTATATTATATGTCTCCACAAACTCTCCTTATTATAAGTTCTTTGGTTTAGTCGAGGCGATAATAAAATGCGCAGGTCACTGAACGTCTAATGCCGACTGGACTTAAGCACGTAAGAAACTAATAGTCGTAGTCGGTCAAACCTACGCCTACAAATTATGATGCAAAATTACTGTGCAGAAACTTCATGGCCATCATTACCATTTCTAATCATTTCGATTTTTGTATCGATTTTTCTATTGTTATACATTTTAATCGCAAAAATAAAAACTAAATTTACTTTCAAGCATTTCAATGTCGTCATTTTTATATCGCACTAACAATTGCATACAAAAAGAAAAGAATATTATTTTGTATACACTATTTACATTATTCGGACTATTGTCCTCATCTTTGTCGCCATGTGTCCTTGATAAATATGGCAACAAAAATGAGGATAATAGTCCGAATAATGTAAATAGTGTACATAATACCTCATCTCGGAAATATAGACAAATTATTTTGTATCTGTCTATATTTCTGAGATAAAGTATTATGTACATAATTTACATTATTCGAACTATTGTCCTCATCTTTGTCGCTATATTTATTACAACGTTTCGGCCGTTGTACGCTCCGGTCTTCTTCAGTAGTCAGACAGATTGACCTCTGACTTATACCCAGAAGAACGGTTTCAGTATTCCAATAGATAATCTGATGGAGATGTTGTTACTTTCTGTACACAAACAACAACTATTGGAATGGGATATGGAGTATCACAGGATGAGGGTCTTGTTACTGGATTATCAATGCCAATGGCGAATATATATACATGGAATACTTTGAGGAAATGGCATTAGAATCTATATCTCTAAAGCTAACTATATGGTTAAGGTACGTAGATGACACCTTCATACTCTGGCCATTATATAAGATGTTCATTTCTACTTTTCCATGTGAACTCAATAAGACCTTCGATTAAGTTCACAATGGAGAAGAGTATGTGTAACAACATCTCGTATTTGTCGATGTTCTAATATTTCGAACAGGGCATGGGTTCAAGACCGAAACGTAAACCGACATTTTTGTATTTTGCTACATTTCAGATATAGATTGTTTTGCCATTTCCTTCAAAGTATTCCATGTATATATTATAATTTTCTGTTGATAATATATAGCCCATTGATTAAAGCCCTCATCCTGTCGATATATGTGTGATCCCATTCCAAATTTAAATATGGCGACAATGATGAGGACAATAGCCCAAATAATGTAGATTATTTTGAATGTAAAGTGCAAATTAATTTGAAGATTAGTGAAGTAAAAATTTTCCTTTTTTTACATACATTTTCGTCGCAATATTCCTCCGTATAATGCACGAAAACTGGGGGGAGATGTGATAAATATCCGGAATTGGATATTTACAGCATTTAAATCTGTTAATCTGTCTTATACTCTGACCTTTATAATTTAATACATGGGAAGGAGGAGGAAAAAGAGTTTTTATAGCAGAAAACTTACTGCTCTTATTCCCTCAATAATTTATGAATGTCACCCTTCCTAGATTTTATATTTCACGGAAAAATATTCTTTAAAAAAAAAACTCTAGTGTAAAATCTCTATGCACTGAATGTTTACACGCCAGCATCTGCCCACTCTCGGCTGTCCTTGGTTCAGTCCCAATCGGTCAGCTGAGGCGAATGATATATTCTTGATTGACCTAAAACGAACAGAATTTCTATTATTTACCGATGTGGACACGTAAGCTTTTCTTTCTTTCTTTTTTTTTTTCTTACTGCGTAAGGCTGCTAACCTTGATAAACAACTGTGAAGCCAATCTCCGGGGTGTTGTTTGAAAACGCATCCAGATCCCAGTATTGCTTGGTTACCGGAGATGACTTCTTAAAATGATATATTTTCGTCTGATAAAGAAACACCGTACGACCTGTACGAGGAAATCGATCCGTTCTGCCATTGCAATTGATTAACGAACCAAGCCTTTTCTTCCGTCTAAGAAACTCTCAGAATCTGTCATTGTTAAAGTATTGTGAAGTTTATTACTAGTCTAGGTTACTAAATTCGTTGCAAAAGTGTTCAATGACTTAACAAGAGATAAAACTAAAGTATAGTCGCCGCCTCCTTTCTTTTCATGATGAGTGGAAGATCCACAATCTCATCGCTCTAGCTACACAATTTAACGCTGATAATGATAAATAAATGTAAATAATTTCGTTTACGGCTGTATACATCAAAACTCTTTAAGTGGCAATAATTCGGGTAAAAGGCATGGAAGTGGCTATCATAAATAAGTATGAATGATCGCAAGAGAAATGAAAGCTATAGATTTTTTAATGACTGGATAATGGGAACGCGATGTAAAGTGAGTTTTTCTTCTCGTTTCGTTTTTCTTCTCGTTTCATTTTTTCTTCTCGTTTCTTTTCTTTTCTCGTTTCTCTTCTCTTCTTGTTGCTTTTTCTTTTCTTCATTTTATTTCTTTTTCTGTGTGTTCCAAATAAATTCTAAAAAGTATTTCATTACTTTCTGCCATTCCTTTTTATAAAGCTAGTGTATGTTCCACATAATTTACATACAACATAAGTAAAATAAGACAGAATGTCTATCTTTATTTCCCAGAACGCTACAATCTTAGCAATTAGCTCTTGAATGTAGATAGTTACCTACTATCTTCAACACCATCATAATCTTCACTTCCTAGTACATCCTCTTTTTACTCGTATCACATCCCCATTCATCACAACCATTTTTAATATTAACCATCTAATTTTAGTGGCCCTTGTGTCTTTTATTGTGTATAATTTGGTAAAAACCAGTAAAATGTGTGTGGAAAATTCCGGAATCATGATTGAAAAGCCAAACTTGACAGCCATTTCATGCGAAGGCTTTCTACATTAGACGCTTCATAATTGTAATCTTGGGCCAGATAAAACTGCTGATATAAAATTGATGCCTATGAAAACTGAGTCACGCCTAACTCTTTTAGTTTTCAAATATTCGAGTATTTTATAGTGATTTTCCAAGCATAACTTAGATGTGGCACAAGGCCGAAATAAATGGCACATAGAATCAAACACACTATTCAAACTGTAATTGTTCTTTACGAGACAAGCTTGTTTGACTTGTTACACCCCTCGAGGTGACCACATTCGAGCATCTTATTTAAAGAAGAGCGTTGTTCCTGCTATACCACCTTTGTCTGAGAATACATTGAAAATTCACTTTCTTGATAATTAATTTTACATATACTAGTGAGTAACAATTCCACAATTTTTTTTTTTTTAACATTATTCTAATCATTATTTGTCCCGAAATTGTTAACGATATATTTCACCGCTATAAGATTATGCAAAGATATTTCTATTTGAATTGGTTAAAATAGGAAAATATGCAGTTTCTTTTTAAATTAATTTTAATTGGCTTTTTTGC